AAAAGGATTCAAATCTTTTCTGAACAGAGAGCTAGAATGGCTTTGCTCCTTATTAAGGGGTGTAATTGGAAAACTAGGAAGGCACAGTAGGAACAATTCTTCATCCTACTGAAAAAGCAAAGCAGGAAGCATTTGGTATTTTCTTTCCAAGCATGCCTGTTTAGTCTGTGATGGCTTTCACAGTTACAAACACAGCAGAGCAAATCACTTTTTCTTCTCTGCAAAAAAAAAAATGTTGCAAAATAAAGTAACATATTCTGAAACACTGAAAACAAGCAGGAGCTGTGTGCAACAGGAACCCCGGTATGAAAAACCCCTTTTGCTGCCTGTCACAGAAAAGGAAGCAAGGCCACAAGGTGGATTTGTCATTCATTTGTCACAGGACAGCAGCACAGCAGCATTCCAGAGCCAGACACAAGGAACAAACCCAGCAGCAGCTTCCTCTTGGGAGCAGCCCAAGGTGCCCCAGCGCAGCACACATCCCTCTTTCCCAGCAGGCTGAAATCCCTCCTGCAGACACAGACCTGCACTGTGGCTGCAAAGGATCTCACCCCTCCTCTGCCAGCACCAGCACAGCCTTTTGTTGGATTTTGCTGCTATAAAGCACTGAAGATCCATTCTCCAGGCTGGCTGTGCAAGAACTCTACCTGCCTCTGCTCTGCCCAGCTCAAACAGGCTGCCAGGACCAGCCCTTGATGTCCACATGCAAGAAACACTCCCTGATTCGATTTTATGCTAAGTAAGACACCTTTTAGCCTGTTGAAATAAAAGGTAATTTAATATAAGGAGAAAACAAATGGGAAGAGGCAGCCACATCGGCTGAGCTTTTAAGCTGTTATTTATCAATGCAGCCATGTCAGAGCTGAGAGGAAAATCTCATGTTTTCTAGGAAAGTGCACATGCAGAAGGTGCACAGGGATGGTTTGAGAGTGCAGTGCCACAACTCCAACCCCAAGGCAGCAGCTGGATGCACGTTATGGTCAGTGCAGGAAATGAAAAGACAGAAACTTCCACAGACACTGAAAGATTTCGTTTGCAGCCTTGGAAGAAGCTTGGATTGATGTAAAAACAAAAGTACACAAGCAGAAAAATTATAAACTTATGTTTCTATAGCTGTAAGTAAGGATATACCTTAGGTAAATAAGAGACTGTATTGAGTAAGATGGTGAAGGGTTTTATAGTGTAGTAATGTAATTACTACACTAAAGTAATTAATAAAGTAAGTAAAGTATTTTATAATTGCTGAAGTTTAGTAAGTATTTACTTACAAAAGTAATGTATAGAGTAAGCTAAGAGTTTAAATATTATAATAGAAGCATATGTGTGTATGTGCAATAGCAGCCTACTGGATGAAAGCATCCACAGTGCAGTAGAATTAAGCAATGGTGATAGGTTAGAAAAACAAAATTAACTTTGTGGCAGCTTTGTACTGGATTAGAATGTTATATATTGTAATAAAGAAACGTGGACTACTTTGAGCTATGGCTGACTGCTTGCTCATTTAAATCTCACAGCCTTTGAGGCTGATATTTATTTGAGTAATAAATCATTTTTAGCCCAACTGTGGTTCCTCCAATTAACACAGTGATAATAATTGATATCTCCAAGATAATAGGCCAGGGACTGGGTATGCTCCAGCCAAGCCAGCCCTGGCTTCCAACAAGCCAGAGGCAACAAAACCCACACAGCTCCATCCTAATTCTGGAAACAAGAATTCCATGGAAACCCAAACCTGTGGAGAAACTGTTTATGGTGGATGCAAACAGAAACAGCCTCTGACACATCTGTAAATGTTATATACAGCAATACAGCCAAGTATTAACTGAAAAGTTTTCATGTGATTTTTTCCTAGCTCTAAAGATTTTCTCGTTTTTGGGTAACAACTAGAAAAAACAGGAACTGGGTCCAAAATCTGAACAATTTGAGGTGATACTTGATGTAATTTAGAAATGTGGAGAGCCCTGAGAAGTTCAAAGATCAGCTCAAGGGCAGCTAAATGGGGAAACACAGACAGCATGTAGCACTACAGGAATACCTAAGGACTTACTAATATTGAGATAAAAAGCACATTTTCTGAATATTAATCAGAATACAGTGGCAAAGATGTTTAGTTTAGACACTACAACTGCTTATAGCACATAAAATACACTCAACCTATTGAAACAAAAACTGTGCTGGAAGGGTGAAACTCCCTTCCAAAATTCTCCCTTCCCAGTGATGTCACCTAGAGCTTAGAAACATTGCACAGGTGTCTCCATTTCTTTATCCTTCACTCCATTTTCCAGTTCTAGCATCTCTTTCAAAAATGGTAATGGCTATTCAGAGTTCTTTATTCCATAGGCAGCAATTTTTTCCCCAAGTTACTGCATTTTTGTTTTTAACATTAATTTAATCTGCTATTTTCTGCCTGGTCAACCAAAATTGGCAAGATCTTGCTCCATTTCTCAGTCATTGTCCATTTGCTTCTACTGAATGATTCTTCACCTTCAATTGGTCACCTCTCACTCCAGCTCCTTCTCCATTTGTGTTAAATCATTCTGCTAAATAAAATAATCCTGTTTTCTGGACTTTATACAGTGTGGTGCCCTCAGGAATTTCAGAAGGAGGAGAAGGAGAAACCAGGACCCTGGCAGCAAATCCCATTCCAGATTACAAACTGGTGTTTCTATTGTATTTATTTATGTATTTAAGCAGTTTCATCCTTCAATTTACATTACAGTGTCTGGATGAAAGAATTGGAATCAAGTGATGCATTATCCTTGATTTTCCTGAAGATTTTCCCTCTCTTTCTCCTAAAATGTCCAGTAGCCACTTCAATTTTGGGACCTCTGCCTTGCTCCAGAGAATGACCCTGTTCCCAGGACACCTGGGTGAGCTCCCAGGGAGTTTTGCTCATGGCCAACAGTGCAAGAGACCTGAATTTACAGCTCTTCATTAAAACACACACTTTTGTTTATCAGACAAAGAGATTAAACTGCTATAAATATCTGAGAGATGCAGAAAAATAAACCCTGAGTGGCGTCCTTTCCTTCCAGAGTAATTTGGCTGGATGAAAGCACTTAGGCCTTCAGTAAACCACAATTATTTATATCAAAGAATAAGTTGCAAGGTTTTTTCTGTATTAAAAAAAAAAAGGTTCCACTTGAGAAAGGCTTGAAAAAAAAAATGACCAAGGCTATTTGCTCATTTTTAAAAATTATTTCAAACAGCATTTTTGTTTGGTTTGTTGTGAACCTATTCAATTCCCTTCTGGAATTGCTCCCAAGTAAAAGCATTAAGTGATGACAGCCAACCATGCATGTAAGTGTGGAATTATCTTATGTTAATTAATAATTTTATCTGCACCAGCACAAGGAAATTCTTTACAAGCATTTCCATGTACTAAACATTTAGTCAGCACAAATATGCACATTTTGCTAACAGAAAAGCACACACAGAGGGAAAAGTAGGAGAATTCCTTTGGTACTTTTATTTTTTTACCTCACTTACCTGGTTTTCATATCAATATTTCCCCCTCAAAATGCAAAGGTATGCTGATAACAAAGGGATTTGTTATAATTCTATGCTATTTCTCCAATAAAGCAATTCAAAATGCAAATGACAGACTCCTAAGTCACCCTGCCTAGAAATAGTTTGCAAAGAGCAAATTCAAGTAAAGTTTGCAAATGTCAACATGTGAAATGCAAGCACCTAAAGTGTGAAGGAGATGATTTTACAATTTATTTGCAGCTCTCAAATTCAGAGACACAGGAATAGTGTACATTTAATTAATTCTAGGGTGATAATTAAGAAAAAACAACTGTGAGCAATCAGATTTGAACTTTTTAGTGTGTCATTTCCTCTGAGTTCAAGTAGCTACTCCTGCCTTGACCTGGCAAAGTGCCACAGCTGAGAACAGGAATGCTGACTGCTGTTCCCTAAAATCCATAGTTTGGAAACCAAGATAATAACTCTAGCTCATTAATCACACCATAAAGAAGTGTTCTGATCAGACACAAAATAAAAAGGATTATAGGATATGGTACTAAAGAAGTAAAATTTCCCAGTTTCCTTATAACAAAAAAAGACAGGGCTCAGTTTGACAAACCTGACTCCTTTATCCAAGTGAGTTTTTCAGTCAGGTTTTTTTTTAGTCCTTTATCCAACTGAGTTTTATCCAATTGAGTTTTTCAGAAAGGAAGTGAATTAAAAAATGAAGTGATTGCTCAGTTTCAGGGCCTGAAAGCTGGTTCCAAGTTTTTCAGACACCACTGCAGGTTCTACCTTCCCTTTCATTTGTGGCAGCTCATTGGAAAAGTCAATTCAGGACTTTGGACCCTCCCAGATTTACCCAGTTCCCAGTTGTGATAATTCACTTGTGGGGAATTTTGGAAGGAATTCTAGATGGGACCTGAGATGTGTTTGATGATGTGGTTTGTTTTCTTATCTTCCGCACAGGCAGGAAGGGTGAGTTCAGCTCACATCACCACAGCATGGCTCAGCAGGTCACAAGACCCTCAGTTACAAGACTTTTTAAGGAGTTATTGATTAATAAAACACTACCAACAAGGATATTTATGCTTTTGACCCAATCCTTAAATATTTTATCTTATGGACCCATGCTGCAGTGTAAGCTTTCTTAGCCAATCATGTTATGGCACAAAAACCTACAGTGCTGCTTTCTAATCTCCTTGTTATCTCTTTTATTTTTTCTGTATCTTAAACTCTAAAACTCTAAACTTTTATTTTTTCTATATCTTAAATTACTTTTATTTTTCCTATATCTTAAACTCTAAAACTATTTTATTTTTTCTGTATCAAAAATACTAAGACTTTAAACTTTCCTTTACTTAGCTTAACATGTCTCTGCTTTAAACTATAAATCCACACTCTAACTAAGTTTAGAAGCCTTTTCCAAGGTTTCAAATCAAACCCTGGGTTTAATTCTTGCCTTACAGGCCCAAAGTTCTGAGAATTTTGGATTCCAACACCCTGTGGTAGGCAGAAATCAGCTTCCTTACCTTCATGATGTTCACCAGGTCTGTTTGATAGTAGCGGTCCTGGTGGGCATTGGCAGCTGCTAAGGTGAGGAGATAATCATTCCTGGCATGGATAGCCTTGGAATTGCACTCGGATCGGCGGGCTTTTAACTGCAACAAGTGAAAACACAGCTCAGAAAGGCAATCTGAATGACCAAATGCTCATCATTAGCAAATTAATTGTGTGGATGTTGTGGTAATACAGTGAAAACTTTAGGGCATTTACAGCTTTTATGTCTTCCTAGTGATGAGGGGATTCCTGATGGATTTTTCTCTCCTGCAATTGGAATTTCACACGTGGTCTTCAAAGAACAGTTTTAACTCTAATTAGGGAAAAAACTCCTTGCATGTATTCCACATATAATTCTATACTCTGCCCAGAGAATGCTCTTAGTTCATCCTTTGTCCCACCAATTTCCCTTCCAAGCTGTCCCTCACTTCTGCATTCCAGAAAATTTGGGGCATTTGCCTCATGAATTGAGCAGCAAAATCCAAATTTTATACTCACCTTCACACTTGCCTTCTGCAAGCTTATTCTTGACTGAAAAAGACTAAGTTTGGACCTGGAACAGACATGAGCAGAAGAGACTGAATGACTGCCTTACACCATTTCTACAGAAGTATATTTTCACTGTCTGAAGGATGGTGATTTAAAAAATAAATAAGGAAACCAAATCAAGTTAATAGATATTTTAGTCTGAATAACACTTCAGGATAAATCTGCTCCAAAACCCCAAGCTCAAATTTTTGGTTGTTTTTGTTTGTTTGTATATGACTATTTACTTTCTTTAGGTATTATAGGTAATTTTATTAAAGTTCTTTTCATCATCCCTCAGATAGACAGAAAATATCTCTAAGGAAACCATAATTTCATTCCCTGAGAGAAGTTCTGAGTAACTTCTAATAGCAAAAATTAAAGAAACAAAGCGCAAAAGGGGTGTGGTGAACTCCCATAAGACAGGCCAGACACCAAACCCAAAACATGTGTTACTGGTTTTCCTGGAAGGAAGGAAATCACCCTCCTTAGGATGTCAAGGAACAGAAAAAACCTCCAAAATTTATCTCAAAAAATGAAAAACAGTGTCCTGTTGCCTCTCCCCTCTAAATGGACTGATACCAAAATTGAGATGTGTGGACAGAAAAAGGAGTCAGGAGGCTTTAAACTCAAAAAAAGTGCCAGCTGACACACTGTCCATAGAAAATGCCAAATTAAAGCTGTTACTTGAACTTCCTTCCTAAACAAACCAACAGAAACAAGTTCTAATTTCCTCTCAGAGTGTGCTTGAAATAGCTACAAAATTGTATAGAAGCAAAATGCAAAGAAAACCTGGCAGAATCTCACTGAAAGCCAAATATCAAGTGCAAAACCTAATACAAATGTGCTTTTTGGGGCTGCAATTATTTCTACATATGCCATTATAAAAACATACTTGGCCTCAATATCAGCTTTCTCCCGCACTGCCTGAGCCATCTGTTCACTCTCAAAATATTTCTTTTTGCCTTTAGCTAAATCTTTGACTGTCTCCTGTAGTTCAGCTTGGATCCTTGTCAGCTGGTCCACGCACTGAAAAAAAGCATTCAGGAAAGAAAATATTATTCTTTTTTTTTTTGTATCGAAATAACATTATCATCATCATCATCTTCATCATCATGCTGCTGTTTATGGTATTTTATAGGGAAGGATTCAGTCTTCAAGTCACTCCTGGTCAATTATTCATGCAGATCTTTTAAAACTGATCAGAACACAAAATCTCCTCTCTTCCTTTCTTTCTGCTGCTGTTTAAAGTGTTAGGATAACCCACAAATTAAACAGAAAAGTTCTGAAAGCTTTGGATGCAGTAATTAGTTGAAGTCATCAGAATACAACTGGGAAAAATCCAAAGGCAATCTACTGGAAGTGATACCAAAAAAATGATTAATCTTTCCTTCTTTAAAATTTAAAACATGAGGCAAAAGCTGCCACACAAAATACAACAGGAAGAAAAAATATTATATTCAGCAATTCTTCAGACACCCTGCCAGCTTAAGAAAAACCCCAACAAACTGGGAAAGGATCTGTGCAAAGCAGGACCTAGGTAAGAAAACCAATGTGAATCATCAGTGTCTAGAATTAAAACTCTCTTTAGAAGAGATTACTGAAGATTTTCTTTTCCCCAAACTGGATTAAGCATGCAGGAGATTGATAATCCAGTGGATTTCTATTTAATTACAGACATCACAGGCTGGATGTTGTCAGTGAAGGCTCCAGCAGCACCCAGGGGTGAGTTCAAACCTTTGAGTCCTTCAAAGACCACCCCAAAAGTCCCAGTTCTTTTCATATCATCACCAGCCCCCTGGCTGCCCTCATTCCAGGTGCTGAACACTCCTGCAAAACACCTCAGCTTCTTCATTACACTAATTATTAATGAATAATTAATGTAACTTCCTCTGGGAGCACTGCAGGACTGACAGGGTGCTGGGATCCAACAACCTAACACTGACTTCCCTTGTTCCACTGCTAAAAACTAACACCCAGCCACCTGGGAAAAACCAACTGGCAGCCAAAGGAATTGCTGGCTCTCTCAGCATAGAACCCTGCTCTCCCTGAAGCTGTCAAACTGCTACAAAGCACAGAAAAATTCCCACTAAAGCCACTGCTTGATGTGTGCAGGCCAATAAAGCAATGGGCTCCAGAGGGTGCATTCCCTGCAGGCTGGGGAGTGGTGGAAGGCAGAATTTGGATTTTTGGAGCCCTCTGTGTGCATCACTGTAAAATGAAAGGTAAAATAATCTGTATGTAACGGGTGGCTGACAAAGAGCTAAAAGCCTGTTAAATGAACCGGGGTTTTGTAACATCAGTGGGGATTTTGATCCCTAAAATCTCCTGCCAGCAACAAAAAAATTAAAATATCAAGTAACTACAGTTGATAAAAAGATCATCTGAGAAGATTTAAATAATCTTGGTTTGCATCCCTGTAGGATAAAAAATTGTCAGGAGACTGGATGCTGCTTTAGATGGGTATTCCCATGTAACCTTACAAGTATTTTGCTGACTGAATTTCAATTTTGATAAGCTTTTGTCTGAATGGAGGTCAGAACAATTATTTCTCTGTCCATTATTTATCTGTTTGGGAATTCAAAGGGAAGGGTGAGAGGCTGCACTGTGTAAAACAATAAACTGATTGTGTAGGAAAATTAATCCTGCCCAGTGGATGATAATTCCATGTTGTAGGAAAAGCATATCACTGCTAGAATACCCTGAACCAGAACACTGCCCTGATAATTGTAATAACTTCTGCTTTTTCAGAAGTGCAGGAATAAAGGGAGTTCTATTACTTTTAAAAATATAAACTTCTGCTGCTGACTCATGAACACTGAATTATCACCACTTGCAGAAGAATAAAGTACAATTATTTACCAGAATAATGCCATAAAGAAGAATGCCATAAAATCGCCACAGCATTGTTTGGAAAGCTTCACATGAAAATAAAATGTCACAGGACAATAAAACAACATTAATAAAGTTAATTTTTCCCTCACAAAACAGATATTGCACATGTTTCTAAGAGTAGAATAATTTGTTCAGAAACTGAGAGCTCCCATTACAGGAACATCTTCTTAAATTTGTAACTAAATATTTTACAAAAAAAAATTACAAAATACAAAATACTCTAGAACACAGAACTGGATATGTTCTGAGCCTTTGTTGTCACTTTGTAACAAGGACAGCTAAAATGTCTATTGTTTGGGTTTTTTCTTTTTCAATTAATGGGACATCTTCCACTATTCCAGGTTGCTCCAAGCCCCATCTAGCCTGGCCTTGGACACTTCCAGGGATGGAACAGCCACAGCAGCTCTGGGCACCCTGTGGCAGGGCTTGCCCACCTCATAAATTACTTTCAAATGCAACAAGCAATTAAATGAATATCCAGCTCACTGGAACCACAGTATTTTCTCTGCAGGGACAATTACAGATAATTAAAGCGATAATTAAAGCAGCTTTTGGAGCACTTACTTGTGATAGTATTACAGGAGGTGGTGGACAGTCTCCACTCTCCATCCTGGAGATTGCTCAAGCCATTCCTCCATGTTTCAGATGGATCTTTTCTTAAGAAAAAATCTCAACTTTTTCTAATAAAAACCACTTGCAATTGTCACTGCAAACCAAATGCAATGCAACTTCTACAACACAGTGTGAGATTTGTCAAGATACATTTGACCAACTGATACAATATTTTCAGGAGACTCATTTCCAAGCAGTTATAATTTGGGATAACAGCTCAGAATTTTGATCCCTCTCCAACAAGCTAGATAAGATGAAGAGTACTATAAGGTGAATCTTATCTCTATAAGATGAAGAGTACTTACATATTTTAAAAGTGCCACAATAAAAGATTTCTAAAAATCTTTTCTTTTCCCTCAATAAAAATGATAATAGTTTAAAGGATTTCTTAAAGCACAAATACCTTCTTCAGCTGCTGCTCCTTAAAGCACCGGACACTCCTGGCAGGTTCAGAAATTAAGTTTTTATAGTTCTCACAGATATTGAGTCGAGACTGGGCCACCTGCATGGTGCCTTCTAAGAGCGATTTCCAAACTGAGTACATGCTCCTAAAATAATGAAACACAGAGAGGGTGTGGGAAGGAAGAAAGGGGAGGTCAGGTGTTCCACTGAAAATTCGCATTTATAGAATCTCCTGAATTGGAAGGATCCTCCACAAGGATCAAAATCCAGCTCCTGGGCTGGTTTATGTGACAGCAGAACACATTTTTCCAAGGACTGCTTTTAAAACTAAATCTAAAGCACAATTCTTTAGGCTGAACTAGCAAATATCTCCACTTTTAACAAAGCCTTTAATGGAAGTTGTACCAAAAATACAGATTTTCCCACCTGTTCCTCTCTTGTGACTCAACTTGTTGCCAAACGTTTTGGGTTCAGCACTTGAGGATGGGTAGGGAGGGGTCTGGAGAAGATCTCTGGCACTGTGGGATCTCATGGGTGTTATGGGAGTGTTTTATGTACATATGAGGCCGATAATTCAGATTATTTCTTTCTAAACACGCAACCTATGTGAGGGTGCTCTAAGTCCCAAACACAAATCTGTCAATTTTTTCGTGCTTGAAATAAAACTCGTTGGAACACAAAGAAGACATTAAAACAAAACTTCTGAAAGCTCATTCCAAATATTTAAGAGGTGCTGTTCAAAGGCTTTCAGCAACTGAGTTATTTCTGGTTTCATGTTTTACCCACCTTTCATGTTAATGAAATAAAGTTTTGTAAACAACTGTCTCTTGCTTTGCCTCCTCCCTGCTGTCAGATTTGATCTTCACAAAGAACAGCCTCAAAAAATGAGATCTCTTCCTGTCTTTTCCTGTGAAACAATCCACACACTCATCCCTCTAACCTGAAAGTTATTTACCAAAATCTATATTCAGATACAAGCATTAATACCCAAACAGATGCAAATTACAGTTGTTGTCCTGTCAGGCTGTTTTGTTTCTCTCATCTTCCTAAATATTCAAGTCATAAACATCTATTTAAGACTAATCTCAGGAAAACAAAGCTTCTTTTTAACTGGCAATGCTCTACCACAAAGGAAAAAGAAAAATTAACTACCGAAAAGCAGTGATTCATTGTTAAGTAAAATAATGACCCAAACTGAAATGATAAATACAGCAATTTTGAGATATCCAACTGGTAAATTACCTATAATCACTTCGTTCCTCAGCTCTTATTCCAAGCCAGTCCTTCTTTAAGTACTGGCTAGCCAGCTTCTGAATGCTCTGTAAAAAGAAGGGAAAAAATAGTTAAGAGAAAAAAAAAAATTGTAATTAAAATACCATTTCTACTCATGTCAGACAAATGAAAACCCAAAGAAGCAAACAATCTACAGCTCAGCAAATGCACAAATTCCCACACTCAGAGGTGGGAATGTTGGAAGGGAAAGGACTGAACTTGTGCCAGCTGTGAGAACCCCAATTTGTATTTCTCTGGATCAGGACAGGGGGCTCCCAGAATCCAAGAAACATCTGGATCATCACTTCTGAGCCCACCCTGACACGCCCAGCTCGGATCATCCAAGGCTGCAGGAGCTCTGCTGCTCCCAGAAGGAGCCCATTCCTCAAAGGATTACACCAGACAAGAGACTGAGAAAGGCAGCTCATCTTTAATTATTAATATTAATTGCACCCTTCAGTCCCTGCGCTTCGTTTTGCATGGTCTCAGGAAATCAATAACAATTTCATACTCAAGGTCAGAAAGTAGCAGGGTTTCACTTATAACCACACAGAGAACGGGAGTTGATGCCACACTGACCCCTCCTCTGGCTCCTGATCCAAATTTCCTCATTGTATCCATATATATCCAAATTTCCTCAATATATCTGCCAATTTTCTCAATATATCATTATATATCCCATTTTCCTCAATATATCAGTATACATCCCATTTTCCTCATTATATATCCCATTTTCCTCAGTGTATCAATATACATCCCATTTTCCTCAATATATCAATATAGATCCTATTTTCCTCAATATATATTAAATTTTCCTCAATATATATCCCATTTTCCTCAATATATATCCCATTTTCCTCAATATATCAACATATATCCCATTTTCCTCAATATATATACTATTTTCCTCAATATATCAATACATATCCCATTTTGGGGACATGGTTGGTGGTGGGACAACAATTGGACTCAAAGACTTCGAAGATTCTTTCCAAGATAAACCATCACCACAGAAACACCCTCCAGCTTTTGCATGCTAGTCTACACAAGAAAGAAGTGGAGACCTGGGTGAAAATTCCCTCTCCAGCTAAGAATCAATCCCCCAGGAGTATTTTGGAAGAGCAATCCTGAGGAAGAGCCTGGGGTGAGACATCTTTGCCCAGTGTCATTTATTTACACTTTCCAAACCATGTTTAAGATGCAACAACCTCTGAATTACTCCTAGAAAAAATATCAGAAGTAGCTCAAAGAGCACAAGATTTTATTCATGCCTCACAGCCCACACAGTGGTAGAAAATTATTACAAGCTATGATTTGATCAATGTGTTCACATAGAAAAATTAAATGTTGCTAATAGATCATTAGCAGCAAAGTCATGCTCCCTCATATTTTTTAAAAAATGCAAATTCCATTAGGTGGCTGTTAAAAAATCCCAGATAAAAGGAAAAACAGCATTTCCTTTAACCCTGGCAGAGTAATTTGTGATGAGATTTGGAGTTTTACGAGATGCCTCCACCTGGTGCTAATTCCATGTTTCCACTCCTTGTTCCTCAGACTCCACTACAAGATGTGCCTCCACATGCTGAACAAACATTCAGAAATACGAAATAAAAGCTTGCTGGCAGATGAGGACAAGCTCTGCCAAAATTAAGACACAAAAAAGTCACAAGAGGGATAAATAAAGCTATTTTTGCCCAGAGAAATCCTATCACTGATGTCAGCAAATAAACCATAAACCCAGTGGGATTAACCACTTATTTCCAAACTGAACAAGTTCAGCAACAGAACCACTCAAAAAAGTGAAAAGAATAGGAAGGAGAAAAGAATCCTGGAATATCCTGAGCTGGAAGGGACCCACAGGATCACAAAATCCAACTCCTGGCCCTGCAGAATCCAGCAATCCCACCCTGAGAGAGTTGTCCAAACACTCCTGGAGCTCTGGCATCCATGGAAAGATCAGCACAATTTCACACACACTCAGATTTGTATTTCCCAGGGCTGCAGCTATAATAGTTACAAAAGCAACCACCACTAGAAAAGGAAAGAGATAGATGACCCAAATTAAAAGATCATTGTTAGAATACTTTTTAAAAGCTGTATTAATTATACTTTCCAAAGCAGTTGTAAGGTTTTTATCTGTAACAATAATTTGAGAGGTACTGATGACAACAGGAGCTCAAAAAAACTATCACTGATAGCAGAAAGCACGACAGACACAGCTGATGTAACACTGAGTTTTGGGACTATCAAGCAGGCAGATTCAGTGCTGCTTTTCATTTAGGTGGTTTCAATATCTTGCATCATTTTGATCCCTTCTCTTTATCACAACAGCTTTCTGACATGATTATTTCTTGTTTTCATTATTTTGTTTGCTAAGTCCTCTTCTGGCAGGCAAACAATCCACAACAGAGAGGCTTCAGTACCTCTCTTTGCTTCTTCCCTGGGAAAAGCAAGGTTACTCCCAATTAAGCTGACTTCATGGGAAGTGTTGAAGCCACTTTAACTAATCAACAGCTGCAAATCAACACTCTGCATTAGCAGCTAGAAAAAGTCTACTTCATTATGTATAAATTCTTATTATCAGACCCTCCATTGCTTATGTGCAAGAGAGCTTTGCTTTATTTTACTTTTATATGGGAAGAAAAGTGTTGGGAATGTTGTACTTTGCCATTATCGTGAGGTGAAGGCAATGTGGAAAATTCTGTTTTATTTCAGTACTGCTGATTCTTCCAAAATAAATTTGACAGCTACACCAAGACTCTCCTGACACTGTAAAAACAACCTTTTGACTGATATCAGATATTTTCAAACCCATATTTTTAGCTGTAAGAGAGAAAAACTGTATGGACCATTCTCGGATGATCCTTGTGGGTCCCTTCCAGCTCAGAATATTCTATGAAATTAATTAAGTAATCTGTGAGGACTAGCTGAAGATGAAAGGGAATTGTCACACACAGAGACTCCTCCAAAAAAAAAGGTAAAAAAATTTCCACACAACCAAAATGCAAAATGTCCACATTTTGAAGAATGCTTCTACTACAAAAATGAAGAAATTAAATGTATCCAATCCAAGAAATTACAGGCACTTCCCCGGTGCCCTCAGCTTTTTTTCTCAAACCAGTGAGATGTGACCCAACTTCAGTGAGCTCAGGGAGCCTGATTCACTCAAACACAGCTACTTGGGGCCAAAAATTCAGGAGGCAGCTTTATCAATCACATAGAGGTTTTCCTCAAAAGCTTCAAGAGTAACATGGAAGAGATTTTACACCCTTGTCTCTCTCTTGGAAACATTTGGACAGGGAGAAGGGAATAGAAAATGCAATACAATCTGTGAAGTGAGAACTCTGGTTTTCTTGAATCCAACAGAACCATTCTGTGTCAGCCCTAAAGTCTGGGATAGTGATTATTTCAAGTGATGTTTTATTTACCAGAGCTGGATTCAGTAATGGTTTAATGAGAATGAAGGGGCTGAGGCAGGGATTCCAGGCAGGATGTGACGTGGAACAGGCAGCACATGGACTTCTCCAGTGCATCCTGGCCCTTTCCAAAAGCTGTCCTGACTGTTGACCTGCACTGCCTTTCACATGGTTAATGAGAGATAAAAGAGGTTTCCCTGTGCCTGCATCAATTGCAGAATTCCCTGGAAAAGTTAGGAAAGGCTGGTTATTTGAGGTGAAGCTGCACCCCAACCATGCTGTTTCTCCTTCCTCAAGATGGGAGATTCCTTCCCACTATCAGATGACTCAAATTCAAGAAAATATGGAGTTTCATTCTTTCATTCATTCATTCGTTTATTCATTCATTTACAATTTTGTTCCAAGCTGTTTCATTTCTCTTTTTATTTGCAGATATTTGAAGCATGACAAGAAAGCAAAGAAAACAAAGTGAGAAGCTAAAAAATTAATGTAAAGCAGTTAATATCACCTCAGGCACTCCTGCAATCAGGTTTAACAAAGGAAACGTCAAAGCTCCTCTCATTCACTTTGTTCATTTGTTAAAACTGTTGCTTTATTTGCAGCATCTTAATTCTCTCCAAAACAATCTGAATGAGATATAATTTAATTTTTCCTCCCTCAGCCCTTCTTTAAAAAAAAAAAACCTGGCACTAAGTTTGTTCCTTTTTTTCCAAAGGTTTCACAGTTTTCAAACACTCACAGTGCTAAGACAGGAAATGATCAGAGGATAAATCCACTGCAGCCAAGCTGACTAGACCTGAAGCCAATTCAGATTTATTCATCAGAATATCCTCTAACCTATTATATTCCTGACCTTTCATCAGGCCAGGATCCATAGCCATAATCCATAGGGATTCATATTATGTATTACCTGGCACAAAACCAGTGTTGGAAGTTTCTGTTTCTGCCTTATTAAGAGTCTCCCTTATTATGAACATCCTGACAGATTTTAAGAAATAAAACCATACTTCACTAAGCTTCCAACTGCTTTTTCTCTAAACTCTCCTGTCTTTGTCTTCTAAATTTTAGGATTTCAGACATCAAGAAAAATTAATTGTAATCTCCATTATGTGGCACTGTGGTCGTAACTTAATCACAGATACTTCCAACTCTAAGCAGGTCACAAACCAGAATAAATCCAGTTACACCAACCAAGCTCAGTATTCATGTGAAGAAATTATTTTCACTTTCTAGACTACATATTTTAAATTGCTACACTAAGGATATGTTGCTATTTGGAAACATTCCAGGTTATTTCTAAGGCCTTTTGCAAAATGACTCCTTTAAAAATGTCTGTGTTGATGTTCTTTGTGCACCATCCCGTATTTATCCAGTGAGTGTATTTCAGGCAGCCTGAAGTTTAGGAACTCTCTTCTCACAATTTTTAGCTGTACAACCCCGGAGGAAGTACAGTAATACAAGCAAATAAAAATCCCCCAGCTTTCCAGGCACCCAGTGAAGAAATCTGAATAAAATTCCCCCTATCTTTGAGCGTTAATTTGAGTGTTGGCTGAAGATTGATTTTATTCTTCAAAATACAAGGAGCTCCTGTTTAAACCATCTAAAATTATTCTTTCCTATACTTGAAATAA